CATATTTTATTCCAATCTCCAAGATAAATTACTATTTCTTAATTTTTAAAGGGTCAAACTCCTTCAAAATTCAAACTTACTAAATATTTTTTCGACAATACTATATTTAGTAATAAAAAATACTGCTTTTATTTTACTTGAAATTTCCTTATTGCTAAGCAAAAATCTATTTTATCTAAATTTAAAATTGATATTTTACTTTTTCTGAAACTTAAATTGCTTAGTTTGAGTACGGAGTTTGGTCCTTTTAATTCTTGGTCCAGATATAATTAAATATGAAAAATTTCGAACTAGTAAAGTACTGTATATTTCCAGTAGCACCTTGTTGACAACAAAGCCTCCGGTAAACCTCTCGTCGGTGTAAATCGAAATCATATCATTTCTAAAACCATTAATAAGAAGATGGAACAGAAGAATCTTCGTTCATCTTCTAAAGCGGCGGCTGCTAATCATCCTGAAACTCCAGGTACTATAGAGGATTCTATTGCCAGTGGCATGCCCCTACGGAACTGTGTCTGAGGCAGCCTTGTGGACCATCACTGGATGTGTTCCGTGGCATGTTTTGGGGGTGGAAAGAAAAGAGCTCTATGAGAGAAAATGCCCAAACCTTACTGTGGCCGAGAGAAGAAATGAAAGTGGCAAGAAGAATGGAACAACACGGATGTGGCACAGTGGACGAAAATGTTAATCCCGAACATAAGAGATTGGGTGGACTGTGGCCACAGGCGACTGGATTATTTGCTGAAGCAGGTGCTCACAGAACACGGGTGTTTTCGGGCCTACTTCTATAGGATAGCCTTTCGGGCCTATCTTGTAGCAGATGGATAGTGGAAAGGAACAGAAAGGAGAGAGAGAGAGAGAGAGGTGTGAATTTTGTTACAGTGAGAGAAATGATTGAGAGTATGATTGAAAATAAATCATGTTGGATTAACATACACAGCTATATCCTAGCAATTATCAAGTGAAAGGAAGATGAAGAAAGACAGCTGAAAGCTAGAACAGTGGGTCAGACTGTATGAGTTACAATGCGTTATTCAGACTGTGTGGAAGAAGGAAACGCCCATCTGGTAATGATACCGAACTAGGAGCGATGAGGGTCTTCTAGGCGCTACCTGAAACGAGACAGGGAGCCTCCTTGCTGATGAATAGAGTGTGGATGTGTATAAATGGAGAATGAATGAATAAACGTAGTGCTTCGGAAGTGATGCCGGCCTTACAGCGGCCATTCCGCTTCCGGATCGCTGAACTGAGATGTATTTTAAATATTCCAGACCCCCCCCCTCTATAAAGACGAAAAAAAAGATACTATAGAGGATGATCCAACTGTATGACAACACGAACTTGTATGTATTTAGTTTGTTTCTTTGGCAATTTCAATTTTATTCATCAACATCAAACCACAATAATCACAAATGCAAATGTTGTGTATCTAAGTTATCTCTTCTTTTTTTGCGTTCCCCTTATTATGTCCATACGTGTAACTCTATAATCGTTAACTATATTTTTAATATTGCCATTTCTGTTAAACTATCATTATAAACACAGCTGAAACAAATAAATTATTTTATTTAAAATTGACAATGTTTACATTGTAAGCACTATCGTAAAGAATTAGGAATTATGTTATTATCAACTCCCTAAACTTCCACTCAATAAGTATTTTCTTTGAAGTAAGTCATGTTGTATAATCAATGTTTTTTAGTTATTCTAACCTTGACCTAACTTCTTGGAAACTCCGATACTTTATCAAAAACGTTAATATAAACACAATAAAAATGCAATTATCCCAAGAGGTTTAAATTTAGAATTAATGTTTGATGATTTTCTAAATATATTTGATTTCTAGGAAAAATCTAAAAACCATTTGCGTAAAATATTGATGTTCTGGCACAGTTCGTACATCTGATCCTCATCTTACAATAATCTTTTTCCAACAATTATCTCATATTTGGTTTTGTAAAGAACATAAATAATTCATATTAGGTTACACATAAATGTTGTGAGATTTTCCTATACAATAACAAATGTCGTTGCTGGTAGAAAATTTTGAAGAATTTTTGCGGTGACAAAGGAATTGTTGTTTAATCAAGCTTTATAATGTTCTAAGCTGCAAGTTTTATAGAGATTTTAAAATTTTAAAACAAGTTAATATTCAATAAAATAAAAAACGGGCCAGATTAATATTATCGGATATAAAATTTAGTAGGTAATATTAAATATAATCGGCAACCAAGTAATACCCGGCATCAAACTAAATCATAATGAGAATGTTTAAAATGTAAATGGAGAACTGATGATCAACTTCTGCACGAATAACGAACTAAGAATAAAAAACACATTTTTTGACCACAAAGACCAACACAAATATACACTTAATAACACCTGTGGACAAAGATCTATGATATATTATATTATAATTAACAGAGATGCCTCTACTCAGCAGATGTAGGAAGCGACCATATCTTTTTTTCTTTATAGAGGGGGGGTCTGGAATCTTCAAAAGACATCTCAGTCCAGGACGCCGCCTGACTAACCTTAGTACAGGATTCGTTCTTCGTACTCCCGGCGATAGTTCCCGAGGTACTTTAAAATGCCCTCTCGTCGCCGAGTCTACGCCGAACGCCTACCTGCTAAACCAGACCCTCCTCTGTCATCCAGCGATCCGGAAGTGGAATGGCCACTGTAAGGCCGGCATCACTTCTGAAGCACTACCTTTATTCATTCATTCTCCATTCATACACATCCACATTCCTAGTTCGGCATCATTCCCAGAAGGGCATTTCCTCCTTCCCCACAGTCAAACTTACGCATTCTAACTCAAAAAATGTGACCCACTGTTTTAGCTTCACCTTTCAGCATCATTCACTCTACATCTGCCGTTGGTCCAACTGTCTTTCTTCCTCTTCCTTTTTCTTGATCACTGCACGGATATAATTGTGTATGTTAATCCAACCTAATTTATTTTCAATCATTCTCTCAATCATTTCTCTCACTGTAACAAAATTCACACCTGTCTCTCTCTCTCTCTCTCCATTCTGTTCCTTTCCACTATCCATCTGCTGCAATCTAACATCGTATGTGTTACAGTGTCCGAGTATCCACAATATAGGCATTCATCTGTATCAGCCTTTCCGATCCTATAAAGGTAGGCACTAAAACACCCGTGTCCTGTGAGCACCTGCGTCAGGAAATAATCCAGTCGCCTGTGGCCACAGTCCACCCAAGCTCTTATGTTTGGGATCAGCATTTACGTCCACTGTGCCACATCCTCCGTATTGTTCCATACTTCTTGCCATCTTACAACTGACCTCTTCCTTACCTGTCTTCTGTCACGTCCACGATCGTGCCCTTTTCCACCATAATCCTTCTCTCGGACAGATACTCCGCCACAACATTCATCAGGTAACCAGGACATTCTCTCTCCTCCATTGCCTTCATTACCTCGTTCCACTGCAGCGTATTGAAAGCATTCTTAACATCAAACAACAGCAGGGCCGCCCAGCGATGTTCATTCCCTCTGTTGCGCAATGCTTCGAGTACACTTATGATTGCCATAATCAATCGTGCTTTTCCCTTTACAAAAACCAAATTGTCTCCGAGATAAACCACCTGACCTCTCAATCATGTCGTCTATGCGTACTCGCAGCATCCTTTCATACAGCTTACTGATGCATGGAAGAAGACAGGTGGGGCGATACTTCTCCCTAGCTTTGGGAATCAGTATTAACCTCGATGTCCTCCAAGGCTCAGGAAAAGTTTGTGCTTCGAGCAATGCATTCATATGTTCTAGAAGCTACGCAGGCTCCACCCGTCCTAGACCCTACCGCCTCAGGTGGTATCTGATCCAGTTCGGGAGACCTACGAGTCTTGAGTGAACCCAATGCCTCGACAAGTTCATCCATGGTAAAAGGTACACCCCGCTCAGCTCCTTCATCCCTCCATACACCATGACATCTGCCGTCCGCAAAGAGCTCTCTTGTTACCTCAAGCTTCTTGTCCATAGGCATTTCATAAGGAGGATACGCATGGAACTTCTTCATAACGATCTTGTATCCCTGACCCCAGATGTCCTTATCCAGTTTTTCACACAGCTCTTTCCAGTGCCTTCTTTTCTCTGTACGAATTTTCCTGTACAGTTCCCTCTTCCTTGCGCAGTACTCTTCCTCAATCTCCTCGATGACCTCAGGATTGATTCCTGCTCTGCCTCGTGCTCTTGTTAACCTTCTTCTCATTGCTATACATACATTTCTTAGTGCCTCGATGTCCGCATTCCACCAATATTGCATCCTGTTGACATCTTGGCGACCAATCTTGCTTCCTTCCAACGCTTCTTTAATGACTCTCTCCAGGCTTTCCACCGTCGGTGATTGACCCTCCATTATGCTCACTCCATTTAATTAGCAGTCAGGTGTTTTCAAAATAATATTTTGTTAACTTTAAAAGATTTGGTTTGAATTTTGAGTTTGAGGTGTATAATTATTTTTACAACTAAAACAACACAAAAAGGCAGCTTATTTTAGTGGAAATTTATACCCTTTGTAGGGTTGCGAATATTTGACATGTGTGTGAGAGAATATCGCTATGGATAGGCAGAAGTATGAAACAGAGGACTGGCAAGGGTCTGCCAAGACCAAGTGACTTATAGCAAGCATGCAGTTGTGAGAAATTATTGTAAAACGTGTGATAAATAGTTTCTTTATTCTGGTGATATCTTCTGTTAAACCATGCGTAAACCACATGTGACTCTGCGCCAAACTATTCTGACATAAAGCGATATATTTAGCTGAGAGAACGTCTCCTGCATTCTTTTAAAAAGATGTTGGCATTATCATGCATAAATCTTCATGGATCTTCAGTATTCTTTCTTCTTGATGTTAAGTACCTAAATTGCTTTTATTATCTTTATATAATACCTAATCTAACCTAATCTTACTCGCCTAATCTCTTTCAAAAACATTAATTCATATTGTTTTAAAACCTTACGTTGTATTTTTTTCCAGCTGGTGAAGATGGAATGATTAAAATTTGGTCAAGGAGTGGAATGTTACGAAGCACTGTCGTATCTAGTGAAAACTCTGTCTATGGAGCATCATGGTCTCCAGACAGTCAGTCGATTGCTTATACGCAAGGAAAATGTCTGATTATTAAACAGCTTGCACCGAACACGAAACCGCTTAAGGTAAAAGATTGTTACCTATATTAACATTACCTATTATAATCGATCGATTACACATTATTTAATTAATTTCACTATATTTATATAAGTATAATAGTATATTACATAACGAGAGTTGTAAGAAGCTTATTACATGCGAGTAAAAAAGTTATTTTATTATTACAGTAATTTTACAAGCATGTAATAAGCTTACAACTCAAGTCGTGTACTATACTTTTTCTACGATTATTTTCGTTTATAAAAATAAAAATTAAATTACCACTATATTTACACTGACAGATTAATAATTTTTAATCTGTCAAAATAACGTCTGTTAATTCGTTTCCATGGTAACTCGACCAACTGACTTCGAGGCTTATGTGATATTACACATTTTTATAAAACTGAAGCGTAATTTTTTTATTACGTGCTAGTCATTACGTGTCAGTATCTGTTATGATGCATTTACTTAGCATCCAAATAGTAGGTAATATACAATTTACTAGTAAGAGAGTGGAAAAATATTTTTTTTTACTCTCTTACTAGTAAATTGTATATTACCTACTATTTGGAAAAATATTTTTTTCTACTCTCTTACTAGTAAATTGTATATTACCTACTATTTGGATGCTAAGTAAATGCATCATAACAGATACTGACACGTAATGATAGCACGTAATAAAAAAAATTACGCTTCAGTTTTATAAAAATGTGTAACATCACATAAGCCTCGTAAGTCAGTTTGTCGAGTTACCATGGAAACGAATTAACAGACGTTATTTTGACAGATTAAAAATTATTAATCTGTCAGTGTAAATATAGTGGTAATTTAATTTTTCTTTTTATAAACGAAAATAATCGTAGAAAAAGTATAGTACACAACTTGAGTTGTAAGCTTATTACATGCTTGTAAAATTACTGCTCTCGCTGCTACGCGGCTCGCGCGCAATTTTTTTACTCGCATGTAATAAGCTTCTTATAAATCTCGTTATGTAATATACTATAAAGTAGAGTTCTCTAACGGACACTTTTGTATACCCTTTGCTTTTGTTTGATAATACCACACAACATAACTTACACTAATTAATTGCAAGTCTTTATTGCTTATAAAGTTTCCAGCTTTTAAATTATAGTTATATGCACCAAATGTTGTAATAAAGTTTTAATAGTAAATGTAACTATATGTATTGTGTAAAGTTAGAAAACTTATTTGTAATCTCAAGACAAGTAAGTTAGATAATAATAATTGTTATTTTACATTATTGTAATGACATTTTCTTTCACAATTGTTTTGAAAAAGAGATACATACGAAAGCAAGCAAGCAAGTAATTTAATTGAACCCAGCCTATGGAAATGTTCACCCAGGTAGTACGATCGGGTGTAACAATTCTTTGGAGCAAGGTGTGTTAATTCGAGTCACCCCACCGTGCTCCAATGCTCTAGACCATCCCTTTCCCCCCTATAGCACTCTGATGCGCTATAGAGGCACAACAATCAGCCAAATGCTCTTCATTTGGAGGTACTGGGTAATAGAACCCCAACATGGTTTCCGAACACTCAGGACAGCGCATCTCCGCTATATTCCTGTTATCTTAATGTGGCTACATACGAAAGCTTGCTCGATTTTTATTTTAAAGGGGTGATCTTTTAACGAAATAAATATCTGTCACTTGTCAACCACTCCTTTTCAGTACCACAAACCTTAATTTAAAATAAGGAATATCTCGATGGAATATACCAAGTGTGGTACATCATTTGAAAGGTACTTCGCTTGAGAATTTATACATCCATGATGTTTCTTTTCATAATAACTTTATTTTTGTAAAAAACGTAACCTCTGTGCATCTCTTCCCGTCAAAAAATACAATAAAATAAAATTTGCAACATTAATAGGAAACTTTAGTAAATGTAATGTAAATAAAATAAACCAAATTTTAAATTAACAAATTGATGGTTCAAAACAGTTTACTGATTAGCTTTAATTATTTAGTTAAATGTTCAAAGTCTATTAACTACCGTCCATATAATTATTAAGACGACTGTCGTCACTCCACACTGAGGAGTAGGTAGATTGAGACCTCAGTGCCGTTTGACGGTTCTTGTATTTATACAGAACCCGATACTGGCACATACTGTTATGTTACGAATGAATGGAGTAAGCAGATTGAGACTCCGAACTCGAACGGAACCGTATCCCTATTGAAAATGGCTCCAAAATGGGTGCCGAAATCGATACGACGAGCATTAAATTCTCAACGCCGTTCTTCCCGAGAGAACTTAGTGATATCATTATATACAGAGTGGCCCAAAAGTCTGGAAACGGCTAATTATCTCGTAAATTACTAGACATAATTATACAAAATTTGAGATACGCCTATTTTGGGATACGGAGATTCCATATTTGGTATTTGCAATGTTGCCAGATATTCAGTTTCTCTTATATTACTAGTAACTTTGGTTTTTCAAATGCATCACCCTATATATTCAATCATTATTGGAATCTCCTATTAAATACGAGTTCAAATATGACTATGATTACTAAACTACACTTATGATTTTATGTAGTCTGGAAGGTCTTAAATACATAAAACAGAAGTCCGGCAACGCCTAAATTGTTTCAATACATTTTTTAATACTAACTATTTTCAGATACATTAAAACGTAACAATTGATAGTTTAGAATATTTTTTAACATAATAGTTACGTTATTAAGTGTTCAAAATGTGCTCCATTTGTGAGTTGACAGCACTCTAATCGATGGTAGAATGCGTCTACCACATTTCTCCATGATTGTCTAAAAATTATTCGAGATTCATCGATAATTAATTGCCCTAGCTATGCAAGTCTTGCTGGTTAAGTTTTGTAAACTGAATTTTTCAAGTATCTCTAATAAAAATAATCTTTAGGATTGAGATCGGGTGAACGTGGAGGCAATTCAATTCTACCTTGTCTACCAATTTACCGTCCGGGAAATATCTCATCTAAATAACGCTGAACATTTACACCAACTATCTGACGTTAATTTTCTTTCGATAAAAAATGGCCCAATTAAATAAGTACCTACTATAACTGACCATACATTTAATTTTTGTGGTCTTTGAGTATGGTTTTCACGCATTCAATGTGAATTTCACACGAGTTCAGCTACTCAATACGAGTTCAACCATATGTTCACTTGATTTTATGTAGTCTGAAAGATCTTAAATACATAAAACAGTGCAAAATATGTAGATTTTAATAAATTTAAATATTTTAATGGAGAATGCTGTGATTTTGACATTTGTTTACCATTTAAATTATGAACTAAAATTGACAGTAGTTGTGGTTCAAAAATTTTTGCAATTTAAATTGTTTCTCTAAAATGCCGTTCTCTAAACCATTCTCCTATTCATAAGACGACAGTACAAAAAACTGTAAGGCGATTTGAGGAATCTGGAGAAGTAAAAGATAGATACCGATCAGGTTGACCGAAACGAGTTATCAATGACAACAAAACTTCAGATATGAGCAAAGTTTTGTTGAAGATCCACATACATCCCCAGTCAGGGTTGCACAAGTACATGATGTAGGTCATTCTTCCTTCAGTCTTATGTTTATGACGTAAAAATAAATTTAAGTCATACAAAATTAACTCATTGCAAGAATTAAGTGAAGATGACTTTGGTGGTAGATTAGAGTTTACTGAGGTAATGATGGATAAAATTGAAAATTATTAAAATTTTGTTAACAGAATATGTTTTTCCGATGAAGCAACTTTTACACTGTGTGGAAGTGTAAATCGACACAATTTAAGGTACTGGTATGACGCAAATTCACACTGAAGACTGAATGCGTGAAAACCATACTCAAAGACCACAAAAATTAAATGTATGGTCAGATATAGTAGTTACTTATTCAATTGGGTCATTTTTTGTCGAAAGAAATTTAACGTCATATAGTTGGTGATTACGTCGATATTTAGATGAGATATTTCCTGGACGATAAATTGGTAGACAAGGTAGAATTGAATGGCCTCCACGTTCACCCGATTTCAATCCTAAAGATTATTTTTATTAGGGATACTTGAAAAATTCAGTTTACAAAACTTAACCAGCAAGTCTTGCGGAGCAAAGGCAACGAATTATCAGTGAATCTCGAATAATTTCTAGACAATCATGGAGAAATGTGGTAGACGCCTTCTATCATCGATTAGGATGCTGTCAACTCACAAATTGAGCACATTTTGAACACTTAATAACGTAACTACTATGTTAAAAAATGTTCTAAACTATCAATTGTTACGTTTTAATGTATTTGAAAATTATTAAAAGTATTAAAAAATTTATTGAAACAATTTAGGCGTTGCCAGACTTCGGTTTTATGTATTTATGACCTTCCAGATTACATAAAATCATAAGTGTTACATATGGTTGAACTCGTATTGAATATGAGATTCCAATAATGACTGAATATATAGGGTAATGTATTTGAAAAACCAAAGTTACTAATAATATAAGAAAAACTGCAAATCTGGGAACATTGTAAATATCAAATATGGAATTTCCGTATCCCAAAATAGGTGTACCTCAATTTTTTTACAATTATGATTAGCATTTTACGAGATAATTAGCCGTTTCCAGACTTTTGGGCCACTCTGTCTATATATATATATATATATATATTGAAAACGTTGTATTTTATTAATTTTATTTTTATTTATAATAAATGTTGTAATTTTTAAAATATGTGGTTCGTTGTTTAATTTAATATACCTCGGCTACCTCAATTATGTGTTCTAAGCAATCTGTCACTGTGTGACGTCGACTCTGTAGTCTCCTGGTAGAGTTTAAAAAGAAATTAAACCAAAATTTACTTTAGACTTTTAATAAATTAACCCAAATGAAGCACGTTAATTATTAATATTGAACAAATTTAATATAAACAATAAAATTCGTCTGCAACTTGGGTTGCCTTTAAAAATTTACAAAAATAGGAATCGTGTAAATCTTAATGTGGTTTAGTGTCGTGACAATAAAAATTTATT